TAGAGAGAGAGGAAGGGAGGCGTGAGGTGTGAGAAGAGGAGAGAGAAGGAGAGAGAGAGAGAGAGAGGGAGAAGGGGCGCCTACCAGCATGGAGGTGTGGACATTATGCTAAAATACGAAAGAGACCATGAGAGGCTCTCCTCCTCAAGCTACTGTGCGCCTACGCACGAAAGTGGTATTGTCTTATTTTGAGGGACACGCAAGCTACAAAGACCCCAACTTTAAAATGTGTACCCTCTGGACGGTCAATGTCATTGGGGATGAAGGGTATTTTTGTCATTTCATGAAGGTTGGTGTTAAATGGAAGCAAACGAAAAGGCATCAGAATCATCAGCCTACCCGTGAAAAAAGACAAGGATCACACCGCCGATGCTGTGGCACCTAGGCAACAGAATCTCCTTAAATTACAAGAGTGCGTGTACTCTGCTCCCGCGACGACATTTCTGTAAGCCTGCTCCCTCAGTCAAAAGAGTTACTTCAAAGATTTTCCTTTTTTTTTTTAGTATAAAATTTTGAGAACCACCTACGAATCACTAGATATTATTTTCCGATGAAAAAAATTTGACTTTTAAGTTTTTTATTAGTAGATCTCGCCTTAAAAAGTTGCTACTCAACCTTTGAGATTATTATTTTTTAGCACATAGAGATTCCAATTTAGATTTTTTTTTTTTACTCTGGTCGAAGGTTACATCCCCAAAATTTGAGGTCTTAAAATTCCTCAACCTTGAAATCCTTTTTTTTTCTTAGTACATAGAGATTTCAATTAGAAATTTTTTTTTATTTTTTTATTTTTAACTGAGGTTAGACCAAAGGTTGAAAAGGATAAAATTCCTTCCATATTGATTTTATCCAAAGGAATAACTACTATACTATCATGGGAGTATAATGCCCTTTTGCAAAAAAAATAAATCCAAAAAAAAATAAAAAATTGCACATTACAATGTCCTAAAACATTCTAATTATTTATAAAGAAATAACAAAAAATAAAAAGGGCACGATTTGTATAGAGCCAAGGCTCTAAACAATCAAATTGGAGCTCATCTTCAAATAGTGTTGAGAAATGTGATTTCAATACTGGAAATCTTTGACTAATCTTAAAATATATTTTTATTTTTAATTATAAAATTTAAAGCTTCATAAATAATATAGATCGAACAGATCTATGAAAATTTGTATAACTTAAAAATTGACGGTCCAAAAATGCATTACAAGATATACTATTTCCAAAACTTGAAATCCATTTTCCTCTCAAGTCCATGCATCTTGATGTTGTGATGATCAATTTGACTATATTTGGACATCAAAACAACCTCTTCTAGTGAAATTTTTGAGGTAGGCTCTAATTTGATTGTTTAAAGCCTAAGCTCTATATAAACTTTTCCCATAACAAAAAGCCTCAGATTAGTTGCAAAGGAAAAGTAGAGGTTCAAATTTCCAGCTGGATTCAAAACATTATAGGAATCAGACGCAAATCATAAATCTGAATGAAAATTTGAATGGGATGGATTTCAAAATCGTCCATCTCAAGTGTCTCAAAACCCGAATCAATCGGGCTAATCTTTCACCCACATATCCTTATCAAATTGCTAGATTAGCCATTTAGATCGGATTGAGGTCTAAATCAGTCTAAAAAAGACATTATAAAATAAATAAAATAAAATAAACGTAAATATTAAAATAAGATTTTTTAGTGTCAGGATAAATGACAAGGACTTAAAAAAACATTAAATAAACTTAAAGAACAAGAAAAAAAACATATAAGGGGTTTTTAGAGAATCAGGACATGACCTGTACCATCTTGAACCAATTCGATCCGGACCAATTCCCATGCGAAAGTGGGGTCGGAATAAAAAATTACCAGGATTTAAAATACTTATCTATCTTTGTGATATTTGTTGTTGAAAGTTCCTTCTAGTTGCTCAAAGAACATCTCGTTTTTAGCGAATAAATTTGCAATAATTTACGATGTAACTTTTTAGTTTAAAAGCATTGAAAACCGAGGCAGATGCATGAGTTCGCAGACTCGACTAAAATGTACTTTAAAGTTCCAGAACTTTGAACCCCAAAATTAGTTTGGCTTGATTTCACCACCAACCAACCTATCCAAACACACACGTCATCATTCCAAGGCACAGTTCACACACGTCATCATTCTAACTAAGACAGACTCATTATTTTAAGACACTCGTGGTTGATCTTTCACACTTTCGATACATCACATTTTTTACAACCAACCAGCATATAATGAGACCATTTACTTTTGATACAAGATGGTCACAATTAGTTATAACCATCCGCAGTGAATCTTATTGCTTGGGGGTGTCACAAAATTCGAAAAAATTTATTTTGAAATTTAAGTTTTCAATGGAATAAATGCAGCAATCCAATTTCACATCCAATAGTCAAGATTAATTGTGACCTCATTGTACCAAAGGTAAATAGCCTCATTGTATACTTTCCCTTTACAATAAGACCACAAGATAGTTTAAACATAGAGTTGCTTGAAGATACTCTTATTTAGCCGGCATCTTCCACATTTTTTTATTTCTATATATGTACTTATTTTTTTGAATGGCTGCAGCTGCTTCATCAAATAAATCACATCCCCAGTATACAACTACCACTGTTACATGGCACTCATGTACATAAAACAAACAAAATCAGGAAGCATAAGAACTAACCCATAAGGTGCCATTTACATACCTCCTTTCCGACATTGAGATACAATAAATGTGAAAGAAGCAATGCCCGTGGATCAACTCAAATAATGAAACTCCAAGCCTCACTCCATACAAAAGCTCATTTGAACATGTATAAAACCTGTAAATACCACACATTCATCATAAGAGCTATATCTGATACCTTACTTTTGTTCTTTTTTGTTTTTGAGTGCCCTTTTTTCTCCTTTGGGGGGTGTTGGTGTTTTTTTCTTGGGGGGGTTGGGGATTGGGCGGGGAGGGAGGGTGAGAGAGAGAGGAGATTACCTCTAGGATACAGCTAAATCATGACCTGCAGGATTGGAGAGTGATGCCCCCACAACAGATCGCGATGATTATGTACAATAGCACAACTATCAAGCAAGTTAATGACGCCCTAGAAAGTAAGCAGAGAAAAGATCAAATTCAGTATGTATAAAAAAAATGTATTTCTTGAATAGAGCTATCAAAGTGGGTACTCACAAAAGCTTCGCATTTTTCATCCACAAAGCTCTTCGAAGGCGCCGGGATTGCTTCTTGAAATGGAAGGAACTGTCTTGCATTGTCGCTGTCTTGTCGACAAGAAGTTCAATTCGGTCACCTCTCTCGAGTATCTTCTCAATGTTCTCCACCATAATAGCACGTATCTGGGTACCAAGACCGTTAGTATACAATACGAGAAAGGCATGCAGTTGAAATTTCTATAAATTATGACAATTGTTATGTACGTGTCTATTATAAGCTTGCAACGAAATTTAACAGAGAATACGAACTTTGGATTTCATTCACTTTCAACTAACTACATGAATGAAAAATATTGGCCAAGTCCAAAACCTGATTTCTGAAATGGTAGTTCTTGGCCGCAGCCTAATGTGGAGAAACCGTCCCAAAATCCTTAAGTTTAATACTGAAGGGCAACTAGTGATATGCATAGTTACATCTTGTGGTCTTAACTTATCAACATTTCATAATCTGTTTTCCAAAGAAAAGGTATTGAAAATTTTTCTTGATCAGACCAGTTGTTCACAAATTATCAGCAATATATAACCAAAATAATGGGTTTGACCCAATCACCTTTTTAACAAAATGATTGCATAAGCCAGGTATATATCTCCTTAAGGCATGGACACCTCAACCATACATCCCAAAAATGTGGGCCCCACCCATTGCATGAAAGTGGGCCCATCTAGACTATTATGTGATTTGATCATTTTGACATGAATGGCCCAGATGTGCTGGCTTGCAGGCAGCGAAAAAAGCCTGCATTATGCAATCATTTGCCCTTATTTCTATTAGTCGGTTTGACTCCATCACAGACACTTGCCTCACCAACTTCACCACGGACACGGTTGAGAGTATCAGCATTTGGATTACTTGAGAAGTACTCCATTTGCTGATGCAAGACTCTTGAAAACTCATCATTCATTGCGTAAGCTGGAGCAGAATGTGCCACCCTTCCATAGTTTTTCATGAACCTCATGTGAATATCCTCCAAGTATGCAAAAGGAATACGCCCTGAAGCACCAAAAGAAGGAAAGATCCTATATTATACATGATAGTGCAACATCTTAATGTGAATACTCGAACAAGGCATCACACAAGAAGGAAAAAAAAAAGGAAGTATTGAAAGTTGGGGCATGTGAAGGAACCTAAGAATTAGGGGAATAATCCATGTTAGGATTAGTAATAAGTGCTAAACAATAGAGTAGAGATATCATGTAACGACAAATTTAAAATAAATAACATCATGTAAAATTATGATAGAAACCCTACTTAGAAAAAATGGGTTACAAGTTAAAACAATTATTATTGTCCCCATAAAATTTGTTTTTTATCAACCTCATAATATTTGAGCCTTACACCAACTATTTAGGGTGGGCTACGTGAATCTTGTTCCACCATCCCTCTCTATCAAGGGCTACAATCTTAGTTAGACCATATGCTAGCATATCTCTTCTCACTACTTCCGTCCATGTCTTTTGGGCATTCTCCTTGCCATTTTAGAGCCACTTGAACCAAATCACCCTTCCTAGCTGGTGTTGTTCTAGGTCAACATTGCACATGGCCAGACACCTAATTCGACTTTCCGTCATCTTGTCGCCTATTGGAGCTACTCATAAGTTCCCTTGGATATATTCATTCCGAGTACTATCATTTCTTGTCTTGCCACTCATTCATCTCAATTTCTTCATCTGAGCTATAATTATTCTATGGATAAGTTGTTTATTGACCGCCCAACATTCTATAGATATGTTGTTTCTTGACGGCCCAACATTCTATCAACCTACTCTAGAAAATAATGCAGTCATGGATTAGAGACTTTCATTAACCACTATAGAGTTAGTTTGACTTGTTTCTCCATAAATCAATCGTATCATAGCTGCATGCAAAACAAACAAGGTTTTTGGCTGAGATGACCATAAATGTAATATTCCATGAAACATGAATTGCCCAATAAGCAGAAACCTGTCAATCAGGTAACTAGTCACTGCGAATGCTAGTTTTTTGCCTTCCCCCCCCCCCCAATCCCTTCGTTTATATATTTATTTATTTGGACCAAACCAGGGCAGTTCTAACCAACTCTAAAACATTGCCTATCATCCTGAATTTTTATTTTTCATCAATATTTGAATTTTGCATTTCTATCCATTGAATTGTCCTTCAAACAACAGGTCACATGGTTTCCCACAGAAAAGATATTAGATATAGATGAAGGCAGGGTTTTGGGGTGGAGTGATATGAGATGTATTAACGAAACACAAAGGAAAGCCATTCACCGTCATGATATCTACTTGATCGCATTTAGAGAGCAACCTGCGCAGTTACAATTCATATGATAGGATGCACAAGAATCAAACAATCAAGAATGAGAGGACCATTTTAGTTGATAATCTTACAACACTAAAGCTGGGAAAGCAATTGAACGACATCATGATGCACATTAGCCAATACAGAAGCGAACATAGTGCCTATCAAGGAAGTAGCATACAAATGTGAAGTTATAGAGGTAGTGCCAAGACCTATTCTAGTGGATGAACTAGTAATAAACTGCAGAACACCACAAAACATCAACTTCTTTTAAGAGCCCACTTTAAATAAGGAAACTGCCAGTTTCTAATAGGCCCGCTCTCCATTCCCTTTATCCCACCACTTTTATCTCATAGGTCAGGCACAGCTCACCTAATAACCTCATAACAGAAATAACTACACTGTCACGAACTAGTTTCTATTAACCCCAAAGCATTCCAGAAATCATGCTATAATCATTTCAGGATTAACCACTCAATTTGAATCATAGTTGTTGGGATTGAGAGCAGGATCAGGATTAAGAGTGTGGGATCATGAAATACCAGAAGATCCATACCAGAAGATCCCTATGGTTGGGAGCATCAACTATTAATGCATATGTTAGGGGTCAAGATCCTCAAATTTTAGGATCGCGATTCCAACCTTCTGTGGATCTTAATCTCAACCTTTTGGGATCTTGATCCCAACCTTGTGGGGATCTTGCTCACAACCTCAAAAGTATGTATACTCTAGGACATATATACTGTCTACAGTAGTGATATCTTTATTTATAGTCAGCATGCAATGCAACTATATTAAATGTATAATTGTGTTGCTAGCTAGCTATAAATTAAAAAATCATTAGTTTTGGTTGTTATGTTGGTCCTTAAGGTTGGAATTGAGATCCCTGACAATAGGAATTGAGATCCTTAACAGTGGGGAACGAGATCCTAAAATTTAACAATAGAAATCTCTTAAAGATCCCTTTCCCGGAGTGCCCAAGACAAGATTCTGGCGTGGGGTCACCACCAATATTGGGAGATCCCTGGGCCCAGCAACTATGACTTAGACCAATCAGATACTAAGATAGAGGAGGTTCACTTAGGTTCAATCAGTGTTGGAGGACTGCTCAAGTCGACTTAGATGAGTTACTCAGCCTCAGCATGTTGCCTAGGCGAATTTGAAGTATAAACTCAGGTTTAGAAATATGATGTTATTTTTTGATAATGCAATATGATGTCATTTCTATATAATTTTTGTAACTAATGTTTTTTATGATGATTTTGAACTTTTCTTGCTATATGCTCTATTTTTCTGCTTTTCCTTTTCTTGATATTTCTGAATTGTTTCAAGCTAGAAATCAAACTTCTTTTCCATTTTCATCTCCTATTTACTTTGTCCACCTTTTATAAACTAGCTTTGTATAACTTCTCTGGATTTTAAATTTTTTTACCTTTTTTGGCAATTTTTAGCCCTTGTTCAGCTTGTATAGGACTCACGCAAGTCCACTAAGACTCACCCAAGTTTTTCTTGAGCTAACTGCAGGAGCTTGTGCTTGTGGGCTCACTCATATCGCATTGTGTCACGATCAACAACGCCCTAGCTTTTACCGTTACTGTTACTAATCTATAGGTAGCTGGCAAAGATTCATATTGAACTTCAATGGGAACTTCTCTATCTATTGAGGCAATCACACATTGATCTAGTTGCCACCAAAGCCACAAAGGACTGTATAAGTTGATTTGCCACAAAGGACTGTATAAGTTGATTTGTTTTTGACGATAAGCTCCAAGCGCATCGTAGGAACAACAAAAATAAGGTTCTTTCTCTTTTGTATACTTATAGTCATTCTCGTCAACTATTTCATTTTGATAGTTTTTGTGGTTACATGAATTATACCTATTTGTACAAATACCTCGACGATTCCCAATCGTTAGTACATAGAGGCCCATAATAATATCTTGAGTTGGTACAGAAATAGGATCTCCAATAGCCAGAGACAAGAGATTCATATGAGAAAACATAAGCAAACGGGCATCTGCTTGAGCTTCAAAAGACAAAGGTACGTGAACAGCCATCTGATCCCCATCGAAGTCTGCATTGAATCGCTTACGAACTAATGGTTGTAAACAAATAGCACGTCCCTCCAATAGAATAGGTTGGAACGCCTGTATGCCTAATCTATGCAAAGTAGGTGCTCTATTACTCGGCTCAGGCAATGGCTGAGTACCAAGCCCAAGCCCAAGCCAAGTTCTTTTACATTGGCCTCACCACATGAAGTTGCCGGTGTATTTTGTAGCCAATCTCATAAACAACAGAACTATAATATGGATAAATAAGCCAAAGTCTAAACCTTTCACATGTTTTATATTCTACTAAAAAACTTAAACCAAATCCATGGGGAAACTGGTCTGCGCTAGGAAGCTTGAAAGCTATCATGTGGACCTCCCCATCTAAACTCTCTCAAAGTAAAAGTCATATGAGTGTCAAAGTGTCTCAAATGTCAAGCATTCTAAGGTTATCTCCCCTGTCACTCCAATAAATACTTTAGAGACAGGAATAATGATCCTAAAAGCTCCAAATCGAGATGTAGAAGACCCCCAACCAGATTCAACTCCCAAAGGATAACATCTCCTTAACAATAAAAGAAAGGGTGTGGTTTGCATAAGGTAGCAACCTTAAACAATCCAATCTAGGTGCATCTCTAAATTTTATCATAAATGTAATTTTGATATAAAAAATTCTTAGGATGACTTGAGAATCTATTTTTATCTCTAATTATAAAATTTTAAAACTCTAAAAATGGTTCAAATCAAGTAGATTTATAAACACATGAAAATCTTGAAAATGGATGGTCCAGATAATGTGTGCAAGACACTATTTTGTGGACTCGAAATCTTTTTTTCTTTTCATATTCATACATCTCGATGTCGAGATGATCAATTAGAGGGTTTTCCAAAAACCAAACAACCTTTTATGATGGATATTTGAGGTGCATCTTTAATTCTACATTTTAAGGGTGCAACCTTATTTAAAGGTTCTCCTAAAGAAAAGAGTAAAGTTTCCTTGAGAACAAATTGACTCGAGAAATACAAACTAGTAAGTTGATCATGGTATGGCATCATCTTACATCTTCATATCCTGTTGGAGACTGTTATTTAAAGATCATTTAGCATAAATTTGAAAGAGGTGTCAACAAATAACTGTGTGCTTTTTCACTGGGGCCCGCACTCCAACTTATCAAAGTAAAAAAACCATGAATACAATCAGCATTATTGCTATTGAAATAAAAAACTAATGGAAAGATCACCTCACATCTTCATATCTTGTTAAAATAACTTCTTCCAGGATGTGTGGTAGTAAGATCAATAAGGTAACCCGATTGTATAATCCAAATAATACAATTAAAAAAATAAAATTGTTTGCTTTCTTACACCCCAATGCATCCCATTAAGAGGATCATAATAAGCCATCCTATGTTCGACTTTCACCATGTCAGCGTTCTAGGTTTGAAATGTTGCGTTGTCAAGCAAAGGAAAAAATAAGACAAAATACGCTTTGAAATGTAAGTTTCTAGTTTCAAAGTGTTCTCCAGTGCCAAATGAATAATTGACAAAATTATCAAAAAGCTCTAGGGAGATTCTCCGCAATCATAAGCAAAATAAAAGGTGAATTATATACTGAAAAATTTAATATGAAATACATAGCCTAATCAATAAGTGACCAGCCAATGAAAAAACCTACAGCCAAAGATTGAGTCCCACAACATAAGAAAGCATGAGAGTATGCTTAGGAGAGCACATATATGAAACCAGCATTTTACTACTCAACCGAGTCCCACGGCGTACCCAAATTATATAAAAAAACATAAAATTATATAAACTTGTAGGATTAATATGTAAAAGTTATACATGCAATTGGATGTGCTATACAATGATTTGTGAGTTTATGTTGCCAAATGCTATATTTTTGTATTTTCTTTTTTTAGATTTTTCTAAAATATCCCCAATTATAAATCAATCTAGGCCATAGCTCAAGTGGAAGGCTAAAAAAAGGCAAGGGGTAGCCAAAAAAACATCATTAGAAGTCGTGAAAAAAGGTAGCGGACTTATGACCTCAACGGAGGTATGGCCCTTAATAAAGCATATTGGCATATCGGGATTTGCGTAGCCGGCCCCAATTAATTGGAAAAAGGCTATGATGATGATGACATTACTAGGCCAAGTCACTCGGACTCAAGTCACTTGGACTAAGATTAGTACTCGGCTCGGACCAGGGCCAAGTCCAAGGCCAGGGATGAGTTAAAAAAACATCGCATCAAACTATGAAATCATCTCTCCCTCTCTCTCTCTGCGTGTATCATTTCACACAATCTTACTAGGGACAGATTCAAATTCAACTGGATCAAAATTAAGAACTAAACTCAGTGATTACTAAACAATAAGACATCAGAATTCATATCATCTGATCTCAGTAACAATTAACCGTAATGCAGCCAAAATGAATGCTACGAACCAAATCCCTCGGCAATTAACCCCAAATCTTACCGGAAACACTCCAACAAACATCATCAAAACTCACAAAACATCCCAAAACCCAGAATCAAACTAAACAAAAACAATCAATTCAACAAAAACAAATAAAATCAAACTAAACAAAAACAATCAATTCAAAAAAACAAATAGAATCAAACGAGAGTAAACCGTTGTTTACTCACTTCCGAAGGTGTCATTAGCCATGCATAAGAAATTGAGGCCGTCAGATCTTAAGATATGGAAAATGTATCGATCTTGAGAGAAGCAGAGGCGTGAATCAGGCTGGGCAGGGAGTGGGAGTTTCTCCACGATCCTTCGGGCTACAGCCCCTGTGTTACCAGTCACCGCACTGAACTCTGAGAGTACAACTGTTCCCCTCGCTACCACTGCATACAGGATCGCCATGGCCCAAACTTGCCACTTGCTTGATGCCCACAAAGTTGGAGAGAGAGAGAGAGAGCTAAAAGGTCAAGTGTAACAGAGAAAGAGAGTGGCCGATAGAGAGAGGGGTGAGACAATTTGTAGGTTAACGGGAGAAGAGAGAGAGAGAGAAAGGAAGATTGACGGGCAGATGGGAGAGAGAGAGAGAGAGGCGGGAGATTGACAGGCAGATCGGGGGCAATTCAATTTTACATCGTGCAAGTGAGAGAAAGGGTAGAGAGAGAAAGAGGGGTACGAGAAGAAAGGGTAGAGAGAGAAAGAGGGGTACGAGAAGAAAGGGTAGAGAGAGAAAGAGGGGTACGAGAAGAAAGGGTAGAGAGAGAAAGATGGGTACGAGAAGAAAGGGTAGAGAGAGAAAGATGGGTACGAGAAGAAAGGGTAGAGAGCAAGAGGGGTGAGAAAAGGGAAAAAACAGAGAGCCAAAGAGGTAAAGGAAAGAAAATAGAGAGGGGTTAGCAGAAAGGGTAGAGAGAGAGAGAGATGCAATTGTGACTGTTGAGGTGAAGGAGGAGGGGCAAGGAGTAAAATTCATTAAATTGCGCCTAACAAACTCTATTATCACGAAAACATCTAAACGGAACTCGTCTCATCAGCGAGGACGTCTCGCTCTTGCCGTCCATGCGGTTCCCATTCCAAGATGGGACCTTCTCTTGACCCCTCCCCTTCCTCGGTTAAAGGGTTGAATTTTATTTATCATGAATTTGGAACGTATAATATATCTGCTTAAGTTGAAGGAAAAAATTTGCATAAGGTTGCAATCTTAAAATGTAGATTGAAAGTGCACCTCAAAAATCTATCATATAAGGTTGTTTTGATGTTGAAAAATTCTTTACTTGATTTTCTAGACATCAAGATATATGAATATGAAAAGAAAAAAATATTTTATAAATTGTGTATCTTGCAACACATTATTTGGACCGTCCATTTTTTAGATTTTCATGTGTTTTATATATCAACTTGATTTGAACCATTTTTAGAGTTTCAAGTTTTATAATTAGAGATAAAAATTTATTCTCAAATCATCTTAAGAATCTTTGATGCCGAATTTATATTTATGATTAAATTTAGAGGTGTGGCTTAATTTTATTGTTTAAGGTTCGACCTTATTGAAACCACACCTTAAGTAGAATGGTGGAGATTCGACTGCGATTAGTTAGAAAAAAGTCTTCACGATGATGATGGTAATTCCTTTGGTCGAGCTGGTGAGAGAACTTTTTTTGGAACTTATTAATATATTAAGCTAAAAGATAGTATACTCTTTTGGGAGTATACTGTTTATTTAATCCCTCAGGTAAAACCCCGCCAAGGATTAATTTTAGGATCCTAATGTTGGAGATGTAACTTCTCTTACCCATAGATTAACCTCAATAAAATAATCTTTTAATTGTACAAGCTAAGCCTTGAGAAAAATAATATCTCAAGATTGAATAAAGACTGTTCAATTTTTAAAAGGTAAAATCTCAGTGTTATAAAACTCAAATTTCAAATTTTTTTTCTTTTGATAATAATGATCCAGTGATTCTTAAAGCCCCCAAAATTTTAAAATAAAAAAAATTATCTCAAATAGGTCTTCTAACCTAGAGAATAAATGTAAACTATGCGTCCAAGGGAGTATAGGATATGTGTCAATATATTAATCAAGGATAAGAAGAAGAAAGGGTAATAATATATGGGTGCCCTTTGCATAAGGTGTTAACTTTCAACAATCAAAAACTCTTACAATAGTCTAATAATTTATATTTACCTCTATTAATAAAATTTCAAGCTTCAAAAATAGTATAGATTGAGTAAATCCTTAAATACTTAAAAAAAATTAAACTTGGGCAGTGTAGATAATATATTACATGGTGCACTATTTTTAAGATTATAAATACTTTTTTTTTGATATCTATACATATAGAGGTCAAAATGATGAACTGAACGGTTTTTTGACATTGAAATGACCCTCTACAAGTTGATTTTTAAGATACATCTTACTGCTACATTATAATGTTGACACCTTATACAAACATTTTCCATAATTATACAAAGCAACAACGGATTTTGATATCTCCATGTTGATAAAAGCAAAATTTGATCATTTTCATTGGGTAAGATGGATCACTATATCATACCATCATCATCATCATTTTATTCTTTCATAATTAATTGGGGTCGACTGCATGAATCTTGGTTTTCCATTATGCTCTATTAAAAGTCATATCCTCAATGATACCATAAATCTCTATATCTTATCAGACTACTTCTAACCATGTCTTTTTGGGCGTACCCCTCGTCTTTTCAGTCATTTCACTTAAACTAACTCGCACCTCTTAATATGCATTGTACTTAGTTGGCGCCACATATGGCCAACCCACCTAAGTCTACTCTCTCTCATTTTTTTGTCTATTGGTGCCATCTTAAATTCTCTCGAATAGATTTATTTTGAATTTTATCCCTTCTTGTATTGCTATTCATCCATCTCAACATTCTCATATCTGCTATACTCATTTTATAGACATATTAATTTTTGTTCGCCCAACATTCAACCCCATAGAGCAAAGCTCGTCTCACCATTGTCCTGTAGAATTTGCCATTTAGCCTCATTGGTATGCGATGGTCACATAAAGTTCCAGTTGTACATCTCCACTTCGCCCACCAAACTCTAATTCTGTGTGTGATATCTTCCTTGATCTTTTCATTTTCCTTGATTATCGACTCAAGATATCGAAAATGCAGTCTTTTTTGTACTTCCTAGCCATCAATATTAACTACTTTCTCGTCTATACTCTTATTATTACTAAATTTGCACTCTATATACTCTATCTTAATCAAACTAATTTTAAAACCTTTGAATTTTAAAGCATCCCTCCAAGATTCTAACTTTGTATTGACTGTACCATTACTTCAAATTTCAAAATTTCAAATACCAAGATAACTAAAAAGTTTCCTCCACCAACCCATGTGCTCATTTGCTAAACTTCTAAAAAGAAATGTGAGAACGAATACTATGAATAAGTGTTTAAAAAATCAGTTAGCTGGATCATGTAAGAACCGGTTTAGAGTACCCCATGAATCAAAGTTGAGACTTGTTTTTTGGAACTCGCTCGGTTTTGTTATGGAATCAGTATGAGTGTGTGAGAAACATCGATTTCTCTCTCATTTCTTCGCCAAACTTTCTCAAATTTTGTCCCAAATTGTTCCTTTTGCTTAACTACAATAATCCTAACAAAAAACTACTAAAAATTACTAAAAACTTAAAACCTCTTAAATCTCAAGATAGAAGTTGGGTTGTTTTTGTTCTACCATTTTGGAATCCTATTCACCATTCTTGATATAGTTTCTCTCTACTTTCATTTGATTTATCAAAATTTTGTCTCATTTTGTTGTCCTCTTATATTTACAATGTCCCTAACAAAAATCTAGGATCAAGCCCACTAACATTATGAATAAAAAGTAGGACCAAAGCCCTAATTTTTTAATCAATCCATTTAAATCAATCAGTTATTTTATTCCCTAAAATTTCCTCTCTAAACCCCCTGATTTTAGGGGTACTGAATAATTTAAAAATTCCAACTCATAAATGACTTAAAAATACAATGGTTTTGAATCATTTAGATGATCTAAAAAACCATTTATCTCTATAAACTCATGTTTCTTAGATGTTTTGAAACATTTAAAATGTTGAAAATGTGTTCGAAAAAAAATATATTTTTCTCTATTTCCATCTCCCTAAATTTTCTATTTTTATTTGTCTCTGATTTCTTTCAGGCGAATCAGTGTAACCGACCTACAAATAAGTTCGGCTGACAACTATTTCAACTCACTAATCCGGATTTTAAAGCACCAATATGAATGAATATGATGTGAATCATGTAAGTGTTATACAATTTTGGTTCATCTGTGCGCCATGAATTTATTTCATGACTTGCAAGAGATAGCATCTTCAATCCTAGTTCCACATTACCAATGACCAATGAATGCAAATTTATATGACGGGCTTGGGCAATTAATTGGAATAATCAATGTTTAAAGTCCGGCGATTTCTGACCTGGATCGCCGATTAGGATAAAACTAGGTGAGGTATAACTAGATGGTATTGCTTTCAGCCTAGTTCCCCGCACCCCCACCCCCACCCTGACCCACACCCACACCCACACCCACACCTTGACCCACACCCACACCCACACCTTGACCCACACCCACACCTAGACCTAGACCCTCCCCTTTCATATTTTCTTTATTTTTTGTTTTTTTACAAAGTTTATGTAATATTTTTTAATGTCCTCCTTTATCCCCACCTCATAAATCTATATTTTAATTTTTAATTTAATTTAATTTTTCTAAATCATCGATTTGGATTGATCTGGATCATTAATTTGGGAATTCAGCATGAAGTTATGGTTTGAACAATCCACCCTACTCATCCGGGCTTTCAAATACGAATAATAGAATTATTAGACAAACCGGTTGGGTCAAACCGGCCCCAGCCGAGTTATCCTAAACCAACCCATGGGCGGGTCTTGTTAAGCCTGGTTTTGGTGGTCAAGTTCCCAAGTTTAAAAAAGTTTACAAAAACTGATTAAAAATCTAAAAAACAAGAAATTTCTTCATAACGTATTTTTATATGTTTTCTATTATTTTGGCAAACATTGAAGAGTATTTCGGCCGTAAATGCTTATTTTTACATTTCTTTTTTAGATTATTTTTAAAATACCCATATCACAAATTGATTTTTAAATCTATCTTTTCACTCATTTTTTAATTGTTTTGATTAATTTTACTTTAAATAAAATTTTGATATTTTGTTATTTTATTTGGATTTTTATAAAAACTTTTTTACCTAGTCGGTACCTCGGGCCGTTACACGGACCGGTTATATGGGTCACCGGACCCGCGGTCTTTCTCCATGACAAACGAAGGGGTTTTCTGTAATTTTATTGTGATTCGCTTATATAACCAGCACCCCGTGCTTGCTTTTGCGAAAGCTATACTGAAAATGGCGGGAGAGGATGGAGCACCGGAGGTCACACTCGAGACCTCCATGGGGCCTGTTACCGTTGAGGTCACAATATTATCTATTCTACCCTCTGATACATGTTTCTCTATCTTTATATTCATTTTTTTTATCTTTTTATTTTTTTTGTTTTTGCAGCTATATGATCGGCACACGCCTAAAACTTGCAGGAATTTCATCGAGCTTTCTAGAAGGGGGTACTACAATAATGTGAAGTTTCACAGGATAATTAAAGTTGGTTCCTTTTCCAAATTGTTTATTCATCAAATTTATGTTTTTTCCTTTTTCCTCAGTCTGAATTGCATATGTTTTAAGGTTTTGTTTGATTAGAGTTGCTCTTTTTGGTTTCACAATTTTTGTGTGTATATATATTAAAATTTCTGTCTGAGATGCTTCTTTTTAATAGGTTTATTTGATTAGTTTGGCTATTTTGGTTTCTTGATGGACCTAGGACTTTATGGTGCAAGGTGGGGATCCCACTGGTACAGGAAGGGGTGGGGATTCCATATATGGGTGAGTTATTAAGATCATTTTTTCCTAATATTTTAGGTATTTTTGGGGGCATTGATTTATGTAGTGCTGAAAGTATTCATCTTAATGGAGTTGTGTCTTGTTGTGAGCTACTGGTTTTGGTTTGTTTGTATCCGGAGACACGATTCTGATTTTTTGCGTATATATTAATTGTTGATTGAAACCTCGGCTGCCAAGTCCACTCAGACTCAGTTGAGTTACTCGATCTCGGCTCCTTGCTGAGCCGAGTACTACGGTACAACTGGGGCCACTTAAAATTTTTTTTTTAAAAAATCATAAGAAGTAGATAAAACTATGGAATCCATGTATACAAATTATTTATGTTATTTGGATGTTTAAATGTATAGAAATTATGTATGTAACGTGGGTGTTCTTTACATTGATTTGTGAGTTTTTCTTGTCATATGGCCCATTTTTATACTTTCCTCCTTTTATGGATTTTTCTAAAATGTCTCCAACCATAAACCAATTTTTCTATATCCACGTTTTATATATTTTTTACTTTTCCATTCCTCTTTTTTTGGACTTTTTATGTTTCCTATTGTTTTATTTCACTTTTAGAAATTTTATTTTATTTTAAACAATGTTTTTGAATATTTATTTTAGGGCCTTTTGGGCCCTGACTCTGCCCTGCCAACGTACTTGCTTTGGTTCGGGGCTGAGTCCGAGGCAAGTTAAAAAACGTTGATATTGGTACTTCTTAAAATATCTATCTTATAGTGAAAAGAAGGAATGGGTTTTCAGTGTTTCTTTGTTGAATTAGAAAATAGAATGTGGAAGTTGAATAATGAAGAATTTATTGGACATGATATCAAATATATGTTTGTGTTAATGAAATACTCGACGTGGTGCGCATGTAGAGAGAGTGTTACCTTTGTGAATGTTCAAACTGTTGCAGGTACTCAAAAGTTTTGTTTAGGGATGTTATCCACTTATTATACTTGTGCATGATTAAAGGTTTTTGGGGCTTTTAAAGAGAAAAGGCTTTTTAGAAAGAAATCTAAACCAATAGAATCCTGAACAACTTATAAGAGAAATTGAAGGAAAGGATCTTGAACACTTTGAGTTCCTTAGTCCATCAAGGATTTAGAATCCTGAGGTTAAGGTTTATATCAGTGTTTCTGTTCCATTTTTCCCCTTTCATCGATGAATGTGGCATGCAGTTCATGGACTTTTGAGACGTCTACCCTCTTGGTACTATTCTTGTATCAGTGATTTTAATTTTGAAATTTGATGAACATTATCAAAAAAAAAAATTGAAATTTGATGGTACCTGATCCACTAGTGCTTGTTAATGGCAACACCCTGGATTTTCTTATTGAACATGAATGATGTGCTAGATACATGAACTTGTTGATAGGATCTTGGCGAATCAAATTCTTGTATATTAATGTCCCGAAGTTTTTTGAAGCCTTTTTTCATTCAATGTTTAAATGCACTACATAACTAAGATGCTGCAATTCTAGATTTCTAGAAGAGGATTACAGTAATTTGGAAAACATTTAAGTGGACACCTCATTTTGGCAATCCGTACATTTTGAAGTGTAGAGTTTGCTATTCAATTAAAGGGGTGTCTACTCAGTTATGAAGGAAAGAAAAAGTCTATGATTGCAAGAAATGTACCTAGATCATTTGCGGTGAAAATATTTTGGGGTCTCAAGTAAAAAACACCTCTTGCCTATGAATAACTTTTTTTTTTTTGGTTGTTAACCGTTTACCTATGATTACCTTTAATTCAATATAATATATTCAAAATGGATATCCTGGATTGAAATCTGACTCAAGAATATCTACTCTTGAGGAGTCAGATTTGGGTCCATGAAATCCATTTTGTATTTTGGTCAAAAGAGCTCTCAGTAATTTGTGCTCATTTAGAAATTGTCCTCATTTGCTTTTGTGTCTATTATCTGCAGCGCAAAGTTTGAGGATGAAATAAAACCTGAGTTAAAACATAGTGGAGCTGGAATTTTGTCCATGGCAAATGCTGGCCCTAACACAAATGGAAGTCAGTTCTTTATTACTCTTGCACCGACTCCATGGCTGGATGGTAACACAAGTTTTCTTTTCCCCTGCTTCTATTCTATTTATTTCTGTCTTCTACACAACTGAATGGCATTGAAGAGACATAGTCTTGGAAGCTACCTTTTTTTTTTCCCGAGCAGTTTTCAGAAACTACTTGCAATCTTGCCTTCTGGACTATCTTATATTTGTTGCCAGCTCACAGTCTATTTCCTTTGCGATTTAATTTTTGAGGTTCTGAAAGGGCATATTAAAATTTTAATGGATCTGATTATTTATGGCTAGAATATGAACATGCCTTTGGCTTAGAACAATGAGCTTTCACTGATAGTCGCATAAGTTTATGCTGTTTTTATTAGTTGAGCTCTAGCCTAATATTCTTGTAGTAGTTAAGACACATTAGGTGCATAATGATGGTTTGGATTGGCTTTAAGCTATCTAAGGCTGTTCTAATTGACCCTTACATGACTTGTGTTTTAGTTTGTAGTTAGGCTGTTGTAATTGACCCTTACATGACTTGTGTTTTAGTTTGTAGTTAGGCTGTTGTAATTGACCCTTACATGACTTGTGTTTTAGTTTGAAGTCTTATATATCATCCTTAGGGATTTTTCAAACTCTTAAATAGAACTTGTCTGAAATAATAATGACTTTCAAGCCAAGTTCAATTAGAAAAATACTAAATCACTGAACTGGAGAGACAAACATACCACTGAAAGGGTCCAGGGCTCATTTATTATTGGCAATATGGTCTCAATTGTAGTTTTTGAACATTGTACAGGGGAAACTGTTCTTTCTTTCAAATTTTCAATCATTGGAGCAACAAAAGATTTGGATATATTTTACAAGAAGTAAAAACTATTGACACATTGAATTATGAAATTGATGCTTTCAATAAACTAGTGTGCAGAACTTCTGGCCTTTCTTTTATATCAAAAATTCAAAATGACATAATTAAAGCTCAAGCCATCGGATGGCACCTTGATTCAATCTCATCAATTTTTGCATTTTGGACTAGCTAGTCTGAGTTGGTTTCTTAAATAATCTGAAACGACCAAATAGGAAATGTATCATTTCCAGTCCTTGATGGTTCATTATTGAGTGGCTAGTCTGGCCTAAGAACTTATATTCTCGCCTGCAGTAGCATATAAGGTGGATTATTTGATAGCCCACCTTTCAATTTTGGGATTAGTGCATTGTAGTCGTGCGTCTCACCATCATGATCATGTTTTATCTTCCATGTCAGGTATACAATTTTGCATTACTTTTTATAATGTCATTCTCATGCTTAAGCTATTGTGCAGGAAAACATACAATTTTTGGAAGAATTTGTAAGGGAATGGAAATCGTCAAAAGGCTTGGAAGTGTTCAGACCGACAAGAATGACCGGTTTGTCCTGCCAATGCTTTTTTTCCCCCCTGTAATCATCAAAAAATAGAAAAGATAGTGGAAATAATGCTTTTGTTTTTCTAACAAAAAAGTGAATTGTTTCCACTATCTTTTACTGTTTCTTCATTGGAGAAATGATTAATGCTGGGAGTAATGGTAGTTCTCTATTAATATCATATTTCCTCCTTATTTTATCCCCATTTTATAAATGATAAACAGTGATGTATATAACAAACACAAAAAGTTTCTTTATGTAGTTAACATAAGGGAAGCTAGTCAAGAATGCGACAGAATTTGATGTATATTATTCCAGAGGACAACCGCAGTCCATTCCTCTCGATGGACTGTGGGGATTGACCTTTGTGGACCCACTCAACATTCTTCGCAGAACCATTAGTTTCAGGCATCTATCATTAGGAATGGACAGTGGATACACCTTGGAGCACAGTATTCTGCACTCCATATCTCTCGTGATTATAGTTTCATCTGCATGCTAGGTTTCTTTTTGAATCAGAATAATTTAGTAGTTTCCACCAATTGAAACTTCGTCAGAACATACTCCAATGGAACTTCATCTCTCTCTCTCAGTTTTTTTTTTCTTTCCTGTTTAAGTTGTCTAAGACCTTATGAAATTTTTGGTTTTTTTATTGTTTCAGGCCTATTCATGATGTGAAGATCCTCCGTACAACTGTCAAAGACTGATGCAGCTGAACCATTAGCGGAAAGAAGTCAAAAATGAAAATGAAAGGGCAGGGAGTGGATGTCTGGTTTCTTCCGATAGACAAATCTGAAGGGATAGGGAGCATATATGTTCCCCGAATGAAGTGATGTACTGAGGAGTTATATTTTGATACGTGGAAGGGAGGATTGAAGTTGTATCAGACATTTTACTTCTTCGATCGAATCAAACTTTCTTATGTAGCTTCATCTGTTTATTATTTCCTTTGGTGAATGTGGTTTTTCTTTGGCAAATCTAGTATGCTCTGACTAGATTTTCCCAATGAAGAGCCATCAAAGTTCACACTTTCCTTACTTTCATCTTCACCTGCTCATGGAATTTTTCACAAATGTCTTTTTTTTAGATATCCTGTGACATTCCTTGATCACAGAAACTGAATTGGCAATTGAACTTAAAATTCACAATTTTAGAATCTCAATTCTATTTACCTCACTCAGTATTTACCTCACTCAGTGTTTTAAAAAATAATTGGTGGGGTCAATAGCCCACCCACCGACACTGTTCTAGATTGCCAGAATCAATCATCTTGATCGGGATCTAGACTAAAAAGAAAAAAAAAATGAAAAAAAAGAATATGTTAGGAAAAGTAGTTTGTGCATTAGCGGAATACACTTCTACAATAGCATCCCCTGATGTATGTGAGATGGATGTTACAAACTACGAAATTTTAAAATCAACGGTATTAAAATTAATATGCAGTTTGTGTAGAGCCGAGGCTCTAAACAATCAAAGCAAAAGGCACCTTCAAATAGTGTTGAGAAATATGGTTTCAATATTGGAATCTTTGTGATAGTTTTAAAATATACTTTTATTTTTAATTATAACATTTAAAGTTTAAAAAATAGTGTAGATTGAGCATACCTATGAAATCTTGAAAATATTGAAAATTGACTGATAAAAAATGCGTTATAAGATGCACTACTTCCAAAACTTGAAATTTATTTTTTTTCTCATGTTAATGCATCTTGATGTCGAGACGATCAATTTGAGGATATATGGGCATCAAAATGATCCTTTCTAGTGAATTTTTTGAGATGGGCTATAATTTAATTGTTTAGAGCCTCGGCTCTATAAAAGCCTTTTCTTCAAAATTATATAATTTATTTATTTTTCCAATTCACTACGTATTATTGTTGAGATCACACATTCGTCAAAATTTTGATCCCAAAATCTAACTCAAATAATTTTTAGACAGAGAAATGTTGTCCAGTATGTTACAATATATAATGGCGATTTGTATCACTCGTGTTGAATGGGCCCTTCTTCGAGACACCCTACATGCTTAAACGTGGGTTGAGAGTCTTGTGGTGTCAACATTAAAAAACAAAATTTTGAGGTTAACCTTAAAAAAATTACAAAATGTTGAGGTAATTTAAGAGGAAAACAAAGGAGCAAGGCAACTACGGCATTTTTAATTTTTGTTTTCATAGGTCTCCAGCAGTTTCTCTCGATGACTGATTCCCAAGCAAATTTTGAAATATCGACCTCACCTTCCAATGTCTTTGAGTTCCTCTCCTTCCAAATTTGTGCCCCCTTAGCACGCGGTTTCTTAGTCTTAAAAATGATTCGCAATCCATTGTTGTTCGAAAAATCGAACTGGAATGGTTAATCGGACATGGCGCCGGAAGCGGCTAACTGGCCTAATCGGTAAATTGGCCCATTCAACCTCGTCAAGTCCCATAAAAAAAGTGTTGAAAAAAATGAAAAAGACAAAAACAAAAAATTACTAAAATATGAAAAGCATATAAAGCATGATTAAAACAAAACAGATTCAAATGAAATTGAAAATTAATGAAAAAAAAGGATTTTAACGAATCGAGTTGTGCCTATGGGTATTTTTAAATTTTTTGAAAAAGATGGGAAAAATATAAAAGTGAGTATTAATGACCAAAATAATTCTTAATCTTTACCACAATGTAAATAATATTGAAAAATACATTACAAATCAAATTTCTTATTTTTGAGAATTTATTTTTGATTTTTTTTAAAAAAATACCAGTTGATCACCAAAATCGCTCAAAATCAGAACTGACCAGTTCCGATTCCGATCTAACTAGGCAATTAGCGATTAGATCGCTCGGTTTTTTCAACAGTGCTCTGAACCTTTTAAAATGCTACTTTTTGTGTGGCCCAACGCCAAATCTTTTTCAATACAGACCAAAGAACAAAATGGTGATATGTGTCTGCCTCACTCTCTTTGCACGCTGCAGAACATACCTCGCTTGCTTGATCCATCAACTTTTCCCAATACTAAAACCCCAATGATGCACAACTTCATGAGGAATTGGAATTGGATAATCCCATACCTTGGTAGACAATGGAAAGGTTCACAGAAAATTCTCCTCTAGAGGAAGGCTCCCAAGTGATCTCATCCATTTTGGAAGGGGCAATCGTCGAACTGTAAGGTACCTCTGAGGTTGCCATATTGCATGGATACGAGCTCGATTATTCTTTATCGTTTGTGTGAAAATAATTATCGAAAAATATTTTCATGTGAAAAAATTTCAAGATGTGGTTAGATGTAAGAATATTTTTACACTAATTAGCTCTCAATTGGTGTGAAAAGATGCTCAAGCTCTAGCTTGAGCTTTTTTCGGTTTTCACAATTCGGTTACCAAACAAGGATTCTTAACTTCTAGCCACAAGTTTTCTACTTCTACTTTTTTTTCTCAGGCTTCAAGTTCCTCCAGAAAAACAACTTTCTTACTTACCAAACCGAGCCTTAGGAACATTAGCTTCAAAGTTCTCCCCCCTTAACCATTCATGATACCAAAACAATATGTTATTGCCCCAGCCAACCACAATTCTAGAATATCTCAAAATAGACCTCCACAATTCTAGAATATCTTCACCTCTATTTTGTAAGCAATGCGTTATTCATGTGTCATAGTATCTTCAAGGCCCAGCCCTCCCAACTTTTTTGGAGTAAAAGACAAAAAAAACTTTGTTTTGTTGAGCCAGAAATTTCTTCATCCTTTTCAAGCATCTTGCCTATTTGATTAGATATGGAACAAAGTATATGGGCATCTTGCCTATTTGATTAGATATGGAACAAAGTATATGGGCATCTTGCCTATTTGATTAGATATGGAACAAAGTATATGGGCAAATTTGATGATGTTAATTGCAGTCAGGTCAATCTTGCACCTAGAGATAGAAATTTTAGCTTGGAGAGATTCAACAAAACCTAATAGATCCGCCAACTGTAGCTTCTTCACATGCACCCCCCATTAGTCTTGACTTCTCTATATTCACTTTGAGGCCACTTATCACCTCCCCACATTTTAAGAACAGCCATAAATTTATTACTTGAAATAGAGACGCATAACAGAATACCATTGTACTTTGAAGCTTGAGCTCAAGCCTTTGGCACACACAATTGTTGAGAGAACAATTCAACCACAAATAGTGAATAGAAAAATAGAAATGAAGATGCGGGATCACCTTGTGAGATACCCCTAGAAGTTTTGAAGAATCCTACAACTTTGCCAAGAATCGGCTAGTTTATTATTGAGAGACCGATATCCAGTCTTCATGTTGTTCATCCTCCCCATTATATTAATAATATATCTCACTCAACCCTATCATAAGCTTTTTCTCTGTCAATTCTATTCTATAAATTATCCTGAAAGAATTTCCATATTTCTTGATTGGATACATTCTTGTGAATTGAAAATATTAACCATGGTCTATCTTTAATGAAGGTGGATTATGGGGTAAAGATGATAGTGTAGGACCCTTTTTTAACCTATGAGCTATCATCTTGAAATGATCTTGTAGGGATACCCAAGAACACTTCTAAACACGATGCTATAAACAAAATAACACTTTTTTTAGGGATTAAAGCTAGAAAGGTTACATTTGCAGTATTGATGTTTCTTATTGTGTGGAATTCTTGCATCATATTGATTACATCAAACTCAATTAATTCCAATGGAAAGAAAACCAATGGAAAACCATATGGTCTCATTGTTTTATCACCTGCTAAACCAACTATTGCATTCCTAACCTCTTCTTCATCAAATGGTCTCTCAAACCAGCCAGTACATTCCCTTGAAAGGCATATAATGTTAAGCTATTGGCTCTTTAAGTTGAATAAAATAAAAAATTATATTTTCGTCTCCTTTAAGCCAACTTTCTCTAGATCTTTGTCAGTAGTAAATTTCTTCTTCCTAAACGCATCTGAATGGTCAACTATATTTCAATCCTCTCCCATGTGCGTCTTCTTTGAGTTCCTACCATATTACCTTAAACAATGCAAAAAATTCTCACAATCGTCTTAAGAAAGCATATAAAGAGAAGAAAGCATATAAAGAAACCATTTACTATTAATACAAGGAGATCACATCGTTCTTATCCATTGGATTTATTTCAATTTGGTAGTTATAAGTATGTCATTTACAAGACTCGAAAGTTCCAAAAAAAATTTCTTTAACTTCATGATACCCCCTAAAACATCTAAATTGATATATGATGGCTAAGAAAAATTATAACCTCCATATAACAAAGACCAATGTCCTCATAATATACGAACCCATTTGTTTTTGCTCAAATTTCGCTCTAAAAATTAAGTTTCAAAACCAATTTGAGTGATCAGCCCACCCCACTCAATGGTTCCCCCAGTTTTCAGTCTGTCCTGTGCTGCCAGACCATGGTAGCATAACACTTCTAACCTGTGATTACTATCAAAATCAAAGCAAGAGAGAAAAACCTAACTTAAAAAAAAAAAAAACAGTAGACTTCTACTACGTGAGGATGGCTCAAACCCCGGTCCTCTCTCTTGCTAATGTCATATACTTGGCCCAAAACCACAAAGGGAACGAAAATGAACCCCAAATGGTAGGCAGTCATGTAAAAGAATATGATCTTAAAGGCTCAATCCCAGCATAACTTCAAACATAACTGAAAAGCCAAGGTGAGCCAAAGCGTTTAATGCATAATAGACATCCTAAACATATCATACATGAGAGGCCAAATATACCAAGCAAATTTCAAAATACCTTTACTGTTAATTACTACTGAAAAAAAAAAAATTTGGTTTGTTAACCTGTCTTAGTCTGTCCCAATACGAGGATTGAAAGATACAATGATGACAGCCAAACTGAATATTTCTACCCATAGATACAAATGCATACCTATTTGAAAAGCCATAAGTTTGACTGTCCAAAAAATGTGATTACATGATGCAAATACTGGTCTCCTTATAAATACCAGCAAGAGCAAGGGCCTTCCAGTCCCACACATCAGCAATTTTTTTTTTGGATAAATTCAGCTGAATTTTACACCCACAGACAATTTTACAAAGTGGGCCGAATATACTTCTTTTCCTTTTCCAGTACATGGATAGAAGGCAAGGCAGCAGAGAATACATGGAGACCATCAAACTTGAATAGGCCAGAGAAACCCCTGAAAATGCGCCATATGGAAAAACCTCTGCCACACAATCAAATCTTAGATTCATCAAAAAACCTAATTGTTTCCTCTGAGTTTCCCATTGCACCTCGCTTAGAAGGTGACATTGTACTGATGCCATTCATTTTCACTGACATGGAGTTCTCTATCGGGCTTGGGCTTTGGATTTTTGAGGGGTCAGAAGAGTTTGAATAGGGTTTCTCAGGTAAGGTCTGACCCATCATTTCCATGTGCCTTTGGGAGGGCACATCGCCCTTGCAATACCTTCTCCACAAAGATCGGTAGGTCGATTCTAACCCTAGAATAAAGCGGGGCCCATCACATACTGGGGACTTCAACATGAGCGCTCTAAGATTCATCCTTAACGTGGAAAGTGCATTGATATCAGAAGCCAGTTGCAAGGCTAACTGGACATACTCGTCTTCAGTTCTTGCTATCAAATGCTTCAACCCTGCAAGAGAAGAGAAGGTTCACAGTTGGCATGGGAACTAAGGGCTCCAGATATAAGCATATAGTGTCACCATAAGGACTTCTTCTATCAAAAGGTCAAGGGAAACATTTAGAAAATTATTCACTTTGGAAACACACTTGGCAAGTGCACATACCTATGATAGGAAAGAGGGCCATGGTCATAAAGCAGTTTTGGCAAATCTTTCCTTTACTTCAGAAATATTTTGGGATGGTTTAAAATTTTTAATCCCCCCAAAAAGCTCTTAGACCCATCTAAGAGGTCAACCCAGTCAAAACTTTGAAAGGGATTCCATCTACTTGATTGAGTCTGTCTAGCCCGTAGATTCTGAAAGGTAATAGGGAATCAATCGCATTAAGATTCTTTAAAGATAAGTATCTAGAAGACTCTTAAGCATATGATAGGGCTCGCTTGAGTCATTACAATTTTTTAAAACGATGACCAAATTGTGCATTTTCCACAAGTACCACAAAGGGGTTTTTTGATTCCTAGCTTCCATAAACTCAAGCCCGACCTTTCTCTAACCCAAAAAGATAAAATAGAAAAAAAAAAAAAAAGGATTAGTAAATGTAAAGATATCTCATTCATGAACAGAAATTTCTAAAACATGAATTTCCTCTAGAAAAAATCATTTAAAGGGCAAAAATGGAGAACACGAGTATATATAACTTAAATAATAAGAAGCATTATGTAATATTTTTTTGTACACATTTTTAATATTCAATAAATGGTGTTAAATATCTGTTTTTTTGTTATTTCATTCTGTTCTTGCATATTGTTGCTTTTTCCAAAGACCTGATCAAGTCAACCAGTTCATCAGATCAAGGGTCAACCCAACCAAGGAGCTCGTTAGTGTCAGTGAGTTATTGGTAAATCATGAAATGCTTTTGCTTGAAGACATATTGTGACTTATGGTTTGACTGAGGGTATGGCCCATGATAGACAGGAATAGCAAAACAAGATTTGTATAGCTGACCCTAAATAATGGGAAAAAGGCTCGGATGATAATGAAATGCTTTCTCTTATTTATTCTTTGGTTCTTTCTTAACTATAATATCAAGGCAAGAATCACAAATGATTATAAGAAAAACAATCACAAATTATGAACGAACACAAAAGAATAATCACGGTTCCTGAAATGATCACAATTTTAGATGACACCAACCGTACTTACCAACTTTAGTGAGGAGACTGACACCAACATTGTGAGCATGTACAGAGCCTGCCATTGTGACACAAGGGATCCCCATGTAAAGAGATTCACATGTGGTTGTTGTTCCCGCGTATGGAAATGTGTCCAAGCTATATAGACGCAAAAATATCTGATGTCAACCCAAAAAGCAACTCATATAATAAAGAAACATAACCATATCAGAAGAACTCACACCTGCCACTTGGATATTCACAGTAAGCAATATTTATGTCATCCATTCATAGAAAGGGGCAGAAAGAACCACAGTAACATGAAAGAATGTTAAATAAATTCATTCTTTAATAGATAAGCAAAATGAACGATTTTCATATATTAACCAAGTAATTCTTATGTAAATAACAACATGGAGTACTTGTTCACCCAATATAACCAGAAGGTATCTTTAGTACAGGAAGAGTGAGAATTCAGTCCAATCAGTTCAAGACAAGTAACTCCCTAAGAGCATAAGATGCATTTATAATTTGCTCACTTATCTAAAGACGTAAAGATGAATTTTTCACCTAATATCCATAAGGGAGTATGCTTGCATGTGGTCATGATTGAGAAGAATTAACGGAAGAAGATCGACACGCAGTGTTTCCAGCCCCAATTGTTCTAATGCCGAAAGGAATTTCTGTCGTACACTATCACAACAGAATGGTTTACATTTGACCACAAGGCGGGAATTTGGAACTGCACACAGTATCCGGGCCCATACCTTCAGGACCTTGGGAGTTATCTGAAAAACTCAGAAAGTGAAATAGCCTTAAGTTCCTTCCAAAAATGACCCTAGAAATATTAGAAAAATGGAATCACCTTGACCTCTTAAAGATATTAGTTGGGATCACATAAGGAACAACTAACACGCACAAGAATGACAATTATCATGAAAAACCTAATTTACTCATGTCCTGAACCATGATACGGGAAATTTCCTCATTTAAGAAACAAAAATAGAGTGTAACGGAGGGTTCCAGTTCTTACCTTCGCTAGATTGTTAAAGCTCCCAAAAGTTATGAATCCATTTGAGAGGGCAGGGGTTGGTGAAACAGACCCAGCTTCCGGAGAGGGAGTATAGCAAAGAAAACAATCAGGCAGGCGAACCAACTCCTCAACATGTCTGGGAAATATTCAGATGACTAAATAAATATTCTAAAATAATAACAATTGACGCCACATAAATATCATACAATCACCAAACCAAGCAGCAGCCAACATTAGAGGTCCACAACAGAATCAGATTTCATACAGCTACTTAAACTTACTTTTGCCTAGTAGTGGGAGGATCAGCGAGTTGATCAGTAAATCTATAATCTATTGTAGGTAAACCAGTTGTGTTTGGGTATCCAATCCAGGTTGCCTACAAAAAAAAAAACAAGTGCAGTCAAATGTCAACTGTAACTAATAAGAGCAAAACTCAGAGTAAGCTTGGAAGCTTTTCTATCAATAAGCAAGCACATGATGGAAAGAGAGCCCATTATGAAAAAGTCAAGAGCCTCAGTCAAAACTGTTACAAATTCAAAAGAGAGGTACACTCAAAGATACTCTTAAACATGTCCTCTAATGTGCCAGCAAGAAAATTTACAAGAAAAATGTCGTGTTATTATAAAATTTGGAAGTTCAAGTCTAGAGTCACTACAAAATTGTGAGCTTCAAGTTCACTAAAAAAGTTAACACAAACGAAAAAGTAGTGCCAAACAAAAATCCAGAGGGATGTAAGAGTGACTGAGTTACAGAAAGAAAGAGCATGAGTGACTGTATGCCATTGACCATCTCAAAAATTAAATTTTAAAAGTTCACCATCCATTAAAATAAATCATTAAATTTACTTGTCTTGCAATGCATTTAGCAGGAATTAAGAGAGCAGACTCTTGTATCTCACTTGTCAAAGTAGGACCTCAAAATGAGGATGGCCCACACCAAACGCCATAGTTGAATATAAAAGCTGTTCCTATAGTGGCTATATTTGTATGCCACATAGCACTTATACAACATACTGCTCTCTTCTTTTTTTTTTCCTGATAAAGTTGACTTGTCAAGCATGCAGAATATCTGCTCTTAAAAGAATGCAGAACCTATATCATAAATATGGGTGAATGAATGGAGACTTTACATACAAATTTAAGAGCAATGAAAAGATTCACAAATTTCCACTAGCAACATGAATATAGCCAAGGGGAGAGCCAGGAAAGTGCTAAGACTGGCAACCTTAGTATTACCTGTATAGGAGAAGGCCGACAGGCCATCATACCCAGCTTATTGTTAGCTGTATGTCCCGTCAACTCAACCAAAATATCAACTTTATCATCCCTAACCATGGCAGCAACTTTCTTCTCATCAATTCCATAAATATCCCTCCATATCCCACCATTCTTTAGAACCTTATCTTTGAATTTGAGCGTTTTTGCATCAGCCTTGAAGTCCAATTTGAATATGAATAAGTAAACAACAAATTAAAGAAAGAACATTGCATTATATGCAAAACACATGTACTCTGTTATCACATTCTTAGGGTAACGATTACATCTAATCATGCCAAATGCAAAATTTGCACTAATAAACATAAAAGCTGCATCAAATTCATTGAGAGCCCCAGAGGTGAATCAAACCAGCATATAAAAAAAGTTCACTACTAGATGAATTAAATGATGTACATAGAACATACATACACTGAAGCGGGCAGGCTGAACCCATTAACCTACCTCATCCAAAACACTCACCAATGCACAGGCATGTGAGAGAGCATGGAACCCAAATACAAACACTGCTGGAGAGTTGTTTATATGGATGAGTAATATTGTATATTTACATGTTATAATTGACTGGTTACATGCACATGAAAAATAAGAACACTGACAACAATGCCAGACAAACAACACTTGTGCAATCCTAATTGGCAAGAACACCAGTGCATTTTTGCTTTTGGTTTTTCTTTTTTTCATCTTTTGGTTAATTTTACTGGTAATGCGGCAAGTATACTTTTGTTTCACCTTTAAAATTCCCATTTTAGTTGCTGGAATTCACGGGAGCTTGTAGAGTAGAGACCCCGTTTGCAGGAACAGAGGACAGAGAGCACGAGAAATTTCAGTTAATTCAGTTGTGAGCGGCCTGTAGGCTTCAAGCTCTCTGCCACTTCCCATGTAAGGATATCCTGAGATCTGGATATGCTATTAAGAATGACTTAAACAAAATTTGACAACTACTGAAAAGAATGCAGTCTGGGGCTGGTTATCTTAAGTCAGAGATGAGCCAGGTGTGTTGACCTATTGTGATCCATGTTGGATTGCACTGGAGTTCAGTTTTGTATAAGGGAGTCAGACTCAATTAGAGCCACTTCATCAGGCCCCTAGAAGCAGTCCTTGTTTCTTAGGATAACTGAAAAGAACTATAATTTTCCATGACAATGTGACAAGAAATAATAGAGATTTGCAGCTAGAATTCCAGTATAGGCTGTTCATAAGAATTAGAAGACCAACCTTCAGAATGCTACATTTGGGTGGCAACCTTAGGTCCTTAATACGTTAATTTGTTTTTTGGACTATTTTTGAGGTGTCATGCATTGCACATGCAATAAATCAATCAATAGGCTTCAGAATCAGATATCTGGATTCATTCACTAATATTATGCACAAATATAAACTGAAGAATTAAATAAGGTTAGATACACATTAAGCATGTTACTGTAACTTCTGGTTGTTATCCACTAGTAAAAATGTCCATCAGGATCTCAAGAAAAAGCAGGCTTAAAGAGTAGTAATGTATATAACAAGTTAAATACATGCATCGGTCAGTATTCACAATATGCATAAGCTTGAGAAGTAACAAATAAAGAACAAAGAAGCACATCGGGTATAACTATAACACCTTCACAACTGCAGAATACACCACAACCTTGTAATTCAAGTAGTCATGGTACAAAAGGGGAGCCTCTATAAAATATGACACGGAATGAGTGAAGTAATCTGGAGACACATATCCAATTACAAGGGGTCGCTCAGGGTCTTTTGGATTTTCCCATGAAGTATATTGTGGGTATCGCCTCATGAAGCGCCTACCCCATTCCCTACAAGAAAAGTAATATACAGTAAACTGGGCCTGCTAAAGAACTGCAGGACAGAGGTGAAGTATTGAATGACTCAAGCATTTCAAAATACACCATAAAATGTGGTAAAAATAAGCAACTAAAGAAAGACAGTGATAATGTAGCACAATATTTAAAGATAGTGCTGAAGCAGAAAGACAGTGATAATATAGCACAATATTTAAAGATAGTGCTGAAGCAAGTTGCACGTAGTTAACTACTAAAAGTAACATATATAAATTACACAGTTCAAAGTATACATGTCAAACATGCCTTCTTAGATGGGCACTACAGTGTGAATGTTCTGAGATATTATCTACCAGAGACATGAAGCCCTAAACAGGAATGGCCCCTTTGCCAAGTGGTCAAGGTGGCAGAGATAAACCGTTCCATTACTACCCAATCAACATGTCCAAAAAAAAAAAAGATACCGTGATCGACAATTTGTTTAAACAATATCAACCATACTTGAACTGTTAGATGATCATAGTCGATGATAATATCATTGTTATCAACTATATTCCAGTATCCGGATATGTCAGACAACAATTTTATAAGTTTTATGCCTGCCACTAATGTGTCAGACACCACAGGTGATCCCAATGTAGCATGGCTATTCCTAAGTGAGGAGCATCCAGGTGTGAAGGTAGGGGCCACACTCCCTTGAGCACCTACATGGTATTGTTTACTTCATATAGAATATAGTCAATTCCATTCAAAACAAACTAATAGCTATCTCAGGTATTAAATTTGCATTTAACCATGTGGAAACTGGAAATCACGTTCAGATGGACAAGTACACAAAAAAAAGAAAATTATTTGACAACCATAAACTCAACCATTTTGCAGTGCAAAGAAAATATCAAGGGAGAATTTACATTATCCCCCCTAGTTTGAAACTTCTCTACATCAAACTCCCATCTCATTGGGCTATATCACCAAAAACTCAAATACTGCTCTTATTTCTCGTAACGCCTAACACACCCCACTCCCCATCCCCCTAACCCCCACCCCACACACACACAAAATATATATATAAAAAACTTAGGAAGCACATAAACTTCGGACAAAAAATGCCCCCACCTTTCCCACCGACTGTTTTTCTTTTGTTTTATCTCTATCAAACAACCAAATTTGTTTGATTCCTGGATCTCTCTTAAAAACAATTGATATCTCACTCTATCTTCCCTGTTTATATAACTATGATTGCAGCAGTGTCCAAGAGTTTTTGTTCGAGTTTTTGGATGGCGTTGAAGTCTACAGCCAATCTCAGAGTGTACAAGTCATCAATATTGCCCTTTTTAGGGAGAGAGGGATCTTCCTCAGAAGGAAAACCAGGGAGGGTTGCAGTCTGCTTCTTTGAGAACAAGAATAGAGATCAGGGACTTTTTCACAGAGAGATCATCTAATCTCAATAGAAGAAGAGTTCAAAAAATACTGCTTCCATGGAACAACCTTCCAATGTAAAACAATGCATCTTAAGAGCTCTCGCATTGTGAATCCATTAAACTCGAAGGGAGGTTTACGGTTGCCATTTAACATTTTTAACAAATGTAACAAATCAGAGTGAAGTACACAGAAAGAACTTATTTAAGCCAACAAATGCAACAAATCACAATGAAACAGACAGAAGGAACTTCATAAATATCTCGTAACACTCAATATCTTCCACTCTAGAGAACATATTCCCTTACTCTTGAGAGAACCCATGAATCTTTACCACTAAAGAGAGAGAGAGAGAGAGAGAGAGAGAGAGAGAGAGAGAGATGGTCAGTGGTACAATCTCTCCATAGTCATTCTAGTTTCTATCTTTCCTATTACTGCAATTTCAGTTTAACCAATTTAGGACTTTTTTAGGGTGATTTTGAGAGATGATCAATCTCCATAGTCATTCAGTTTCGTCTTTTCCATTAATGCAATTTAAGTTTAACCATTTTAGTACTTTTTTAGGGTGATTTTGTGTAGTTTCATGAATTTGGTTTCGCTTTTGAACTATCTCCAATTAAAATAAGGGCTTCTTCTCAGGGTTTTTGATTTGTGCTGCACTTCCCCACTCGATGTAGAGCCCCAAATCTCTCAAACCATCTGCCGGGTTTAAACTTACTTGTATTTTATAGAGAGAAATGAAAAACACAACATAAGAAAGGTGGAGGGCATGGGCACTTTTTGTCCAAAATTTAAGTACTTACTAACATGGAGAGCGCTCCATGAAAAAAATAGTATTTGGGATTTTGGTGATACCACTCAATGAGGTTGGGGTTTAATGTGGAGAAATACCAAATTAGGGGGGATAATTTAATTCTCCCAAATATCAATCCAAAGGGTGATATATTAAATAAGCTTCATTTGAATTTACAGGTCAAATAGTGTAATGTTGTCCATGTACGAAAGCTATCTTGAACTTCAGAAAAATTCTTGTGATAAATCGCCATAAGAAAGGTATATTCAATATTTTTTAAAAAAGTGAATTGGAAGCTATGTAACAACCTCTCTTTGCATAAGAGAGAGATTTGCTCCTTCTAAACTGATCACAGCACCCACCCGCTCACCATGGCCAATATGGCAATAAAAGATAAAACATCAGCAGGCTCAGAACAGAACTGGAAAGGTTTCAGTGATTCCTACCGTTAGCCCAGAGACCAAAAGCCGAGCTGTTTAAGTATTCCATTTCAAGAGAAGACAACAACTAAGAAACTACTTAGTATTCCTTGCTTGGTCACATGTTTCGGGAAATGGAAGACGCAAAACATTGCAGCTAACAGCAGCCTTTAGCAAATAGCACGAGCATACAGTTTTAACCTTGACATGCCAGAGGATTCATGTAGGAATTATGTGAAAGCCGGTTCAAAATAAAATAACCGAGAAAATGTTTTGGAAGATGACGACATTCCTGCTACATTAGTAAATATGAGAAAGCCCAAACATGAAAAAGAAAAGTAATCTGTCTATGTAGTCATGCCCCACGTCAAGTAGCTGGTTGGGTGAGATAAAAGGTTAATGCATAATTCAATTGTACATACGAAGCATAACCGTTTCTATTGAAATAAATGAGAAAATCACTTAAAAATTTTGTGGATTTCATAACATACCTGTGAGCCTCGTAAAGCTTGTCATCAACCCCCTCATTAATGTAGTTCATTGCGAGCAACCGATTCTGTAAATTTTACAATTTAAGAGAGCAAAAAATTATAATTAACGAAAGAAAAATAACAGGTCTCCAAAGAAGTCATAAGGGAATTGGCAGCACAAACCAACATGTTTTGCCAACAACGACGAATAACTCTTCATTAGAAAGATAGGTGAAGAGATCATTTCAAAATGTTTGAAAAGGAAGCAAAAGATAATAATACATATTAAATGAAATTCAGAATATTGATATTTTAAAGCAGGATCAGATGAGTCTAAGTACGTAAACACACAAACCCATTTTTCTTTAGAAGTGCTTAATTTCATGTATGAGATAACTCTTATAAAACCTAAATACTACATAGAGAAAGTTTGGGTCACAGACTACCAAAAGAATTTGTTTACTACCAAAACCATGAAAGAGAGAACTTTGGAAAATATCATAAGTCGTACTGCCACATACATGTAAATCCAGAAGCATGCGAATGAATGGAAAGATAGACTGAAAGGAAAATACATACTAATGACCATCACTTCGAAACATTTTTGCTAAAATCATTTTGTCCCTAACTAAACAACAGTAACCATTCATCACTACTATATGACCACTTTAAAGAAAACTAGTTAACATGATTAAATGGTCTCTTGATAAAATATTATGGTCACAATTCTGATACAACAAATCCTTCTCTCCTTCAAGCGAGATATTTTATTTTAATTTTCCTTTTAATAAGTAGATGAGATACCACAGGAAGAAAAACAAATGCAATTCCACAAACATAAATAATACCTGACCAGCATTACGGGAATCAGGATCTATTCTCAGACATTGCTCATATGCTTCAATAGAGAGAGAAATATCCCCGGCATCTCTGTAAAGAACACCTACACACGAAAATTATAATTAGGAGTGGGCATATGGTGCTAAGAGGTCAGAGTATAGTGGTAAAGGGCACTTCGTAACAATCACCAAAAGTAAAGGAGAGAAGAGGAAAGGCACACATAACCAAGTAAGACAATTATCAAGAATAAAAGAAATTATGAAACTACTTTGTACGCAATCATATACACTTCCTGATGTGCATAAATAATAGGTGACCACCAATTAATGAATTAATTAATCAATCAAAATGCACACATATACACAAAAAAACACAACCACATATACAAATGTAGTGTTTATGTGGATCCATATGTATATGTGTGTGTGGGTGTGTGAGAGAGTGAGTGTGTGTGTGAGTGTGTTTGTGGGTGGGTGGGTGGGTGTGTGTGTGTGTGTGTGTGTGAGAGAGAGAGAGACAGAGAGAGATGGCAATAAGTCCACAATATTTAGTTCATATATCACAAGTACTGGGCCTTGACCCAGAAATAAACAAAATGCCAAATGCAGAGTGTAAATCACGAGCAGAGCTTAAGTCAGAAACTGTGAATGATGAGAAAATTCTCAAAAACAATAATGAGGTAATACATATACCTAGGTTATTGTATGCTTCTGCATATGTGGGATTTGCAGCTATAGCTTTCTCAATCATGCTTGCTGCAGCATCCATTTTACCCTGCATACCAAAATCAACAACATTGATCAGTAGCCACCTTTATTGAGGACACTTCTACTACTGCTGCTACTACTACTACTACTACTAGTAGCTGTAAGGGTGCCCTGATAGTAACCTTGTCAACTATGTGTCTTTCTTCTAGATTGAGTGGTGACTACGAAATTGGAATGGATGTAGAGGGAATCCATGTAAGCTGCAATGGAAGTCACTAAAGTTCACTTGATCAGGTACAAGGAAGTCCAAAAGCCCAAATTCCAATGTAGTTTATGGATCAATAAACCCAAAATGATGTCCAAGCCCTTTTCAAGCAAATTGGATGAGGTTTCTTGGAATGTACCTGACACAATCTATGCTAAACTTGCAGAGAAAACATGAGCATAACCCTTTTGCGCAAATGGCATAATGCCTTCATTAAGAAAGGCATCTCATGTGAAATTATTCAAGGCAGAAACCTTGACTCGAGACAAATTATCATGGGATTGGCCAATATGACAAAAGGAGGCATTCAATAAAGGTGACAGATTGCCCATCTTCTACTCCCATGCACTCGCAGAAGCTAATTGTGAGACAGATTACCTCAATAAGGAGTTGGAGGGAATAGCCCCTCAATAGAGGACACATTTCTTGCCCTTGGACCTTTACTCTAGAACTTTATTTATTAGCTTTCACTCTCTTTCATCACACAAACAAATTTTTTATGTCACTTGGTTGTATGTAGCTTGCATGCAAATCAACTGATGTATGATGTATCAATCCGAATCGTTCCTCAACTATACGGAAGAGAGCAAAAAAAGAAGACGAAGACAAAATGAAATTGGGATGATAAAATGGGGGATAAATCCACCTGAACGGTGTAAACAACACCAAGATTGTTTAGCGACTGTGAGAAGTTGGGTTTAATCGACAAGGCCATCTGCAAAACAGAAAGATATTTCTTGTTAATTAAATACAAAAACCATAGCACCCCAAGATTATGTAGCAACATCATGAATCACCACAATGTAATTTATCGATATACAGATGCATAAACTAGGCCCAACTTGTTGACCTGAAACTTGCCTGGTAACATTGTATAGCTTTGTCAAGATTGTCCCTGTCCTTATAAATTACCCCTAAGTTGTTGCATGCCTCTGCACAATGAGGATTGAAGTGTATTGCGAGTTCATAGAACACAATTGCCTGCATAAGTACACAGTGTTTATTAATTAAATACACAGGCAAGCTCAGAAGAAATATAATTCCTGCCAAATATCCATTTATCGGATGAACATGCGATGCATGAAGAAGAAGGATGTCTACTCTGTACTTTCATTCTGTATTAAAAACATTGAAATGGATAGAAAACTACTTCTGTGCCTTTAAATATTTATAAACGATCAATTCACCACCAGTCTGCTACATACTTATAACATTTTAAAACATTGCTCACTTAAACAGAAAATGAAGTAGGAAAGACAAAACCCAACAAACTCAAGACCTCAAGATTGTGAATTCCATATCCAATCTCATCAGAGAATGACTTTGTGAAAAGGAAAATACAATATCAAATTATGTAGAACAGAGTATGATTTATCTAGGTCAACACAGATGCAAGTGCAACAATCATATGAAGTCCACAAAAATGGAAATGTCAGCAAACTCAAAAAGTAAAGAGTAACAATTAGCCACTACAGATTTCTTTACAAGACTTATAAACAGTATATTTCCTGCCAGCTTTCAAATAGAAAGAAGAAAGAGGAACCTTACCATGTCAAATTTCAACATTTCCCCATAAGCAACACCAAGGTTATACATGGCATCGGCGTAGTGCCAGTTATAAAACAAGGCCTTCTTGTAATATGCCACTCCCTGATTGATGTCTCCCTCCAGTTTTACCTGAATATTCTATGTCAGATATCCATGAAGCTACTATTGAAACTACAAGATGAGAATAAACATAAACCTACAATTGGAGGAATAAAATTTGCAAAACTGAAATGCTATTTAACTCAATAGATGCATGAGGGCAGTCAAATATTCTCTCAGAAAAGAAAAAAAGATATTTCACTCAGTCAGCCATGTCATGGATCAGTCAGCCATGTCATGGACTTTAGAGTCAGCTGACAACCTGGAGTGATTTCAAATTATTACCCCTACAAGATTATTATTCACTTACAACCATAGGAGAAGTACAAAATTGCTAGGTTATCTGGGTAGAAAGCTAGAATCATGCTTTCATCAACCTTTAAGATTGTCCATCTATTAGATGTAAAATAATTAATGTGAAGGTCATGAATTGGAAATATCCAGTTGAAGGCAACCTGCAGGGAAGGTCCTGGTCAATAGACCTGGTTGTGGATATCATATCCCCCTTACTCCTAAAGAGTTTCAGGTGATTTCTGACAGCAAATTATACTGCAATTGGGAGCTAGAAGCTACAATTACGCTTTGAAAACTAAGCAAAATGATTCAACATCAATTTTTATATGAAAGATAGCTCAGAAGGGAGAACATCCAGAGTAGCATGATAAAAAAATAATGTTATCAAAAGAATTGCTTTTCACAATAACATATCTCAAAGATATGATCACAAGAATACTTTTTTAAAGAAAAGTTTGAACTAGATGCATAATCTATTCACATTAAACAGAAGGGAATATGATTGGAATAACAAATTTGACATGAGCTTCACCTTTGTCCCCAAGTCTGTCAAGGCTATTGCCATATTGTTCTTGGCAATCTCAAAGTTGGGAGACACAGATAAACACCTGATGCATATCAATGTGTATAAACACCAATGTTACTAGAGAAATGATCTAAAATGAAGAATCATAAGGATTATTTTGACCTCCATACAAATATAAGAGTTAGACAACCACCTCTCATAACAAGCTATAGCACCTTCCAGGTCCCCACGGTTCTTGTATATGACTCCCATGTTGCAATATGCTTCAGCATACATAGGCCTCTGTAGTGCTGCTTTCCCATAGAACGTAAGAGCCAAGTCATATTGCAGCATTTCGGAATAAACCACCCCCAAGTTGTAATAAGCAGGCTGTATGGCCAATGAACGTAGTTTCCTCTTAAAATTCCAAAAAAGTGGCCAAAATAAATAATCACAAAAGTATATGATTTCACCAAAAAATAAAAACCTAGACAAAAGAAACAGATGCCATATCATACAAAAAAGAAGGATAGGGATTATGATATTACAGCATAATGGCTGTCGATCTTCAGAGCTTCACAGTACTTCTGGATTCCCTCTTGAGTGTTCCCAGAAAGCTTCAAGCTGGTGCCAAGATCTGTTAAGACAATTGCTAGGCATTCTGCAGCTGGCTTGTATCCAGGATCAGCCGCCAAAGCCTTTTGATATGACTGAAGCAAACAAAACATGACAAAAAGACATTATATCATTTGCAATAGTAATGATGCAGATAAATGAATAAAAAGCCTAGAAAAGCTAAAAGGTTAGGCACAGCAACCATCACAATCACATATCTTGCAATGAAACAAAAAACAGTGCTAAAAAACCCATTGAGTCCAACTAGGACCCAGCAGCCTGCTTTGTTTGGAAGTCCCCCAACTCATTGAGGGCCTATACTGTAGCAGTACATGCTACAGTTATACTGTAGCAACTCTGGCGACTGCCTAACATACTTGATAGAGTTCTGTGGAGTCAGGGGAGTCCACAGGAACTTGCCACTTCTATAAAAGGTGACGGAAGGAAATCTGACCCCCTCTTTCTTCCATTTTCTTCATCAATTGAGCTCAGATATGTCTGAAACTTCACTGCTAGGAGTATTTTTCCCATCGTCTTATCCAATCCAAATATCAGGTTCTGTAAAGAAACCGAAAATCTTGAATTTGCAAGAAAATTTTCAAACTAGGGTTTAGCAGTTGTTGTTTTCTTGTGATATCGTAGCTCAATCCACCCTGAAATTCCTTTGCTAAGCTTAGTTTTGTGTTAGCTAGTAAATCAAGGCTTATATTCCACATGCATAAAAAAAAAGAGAGAAATAATTAGATTTGCAAAATTTTCTGATTGAAACTGAACAATCTTAATATTTTCATTGAGTGTTTCGTAATAAAAATAAATTTGTCATTTTGCATTTTGCAGATAGGTTGCTTACTTTTTTTATATTTCTACCTTTTTATTATTCTCTTTCTTATTTTTGCTGAATTTTCCCAAATTATTGGGATTTTCTTGGGACACTCAGTCAAAATTTGGCGAGTCCACTACGGAGACTCGCCGAGCTGATTTGCTCAGAGCATCTCTAAGACTCGGATGAATCCTGGTTTTAAAACACTGACAGTTAGCATGCGACAAAATACAAGATGGCATTATCTAAAAAACGAAAAGAAGAGGACATGTAGGAGGTACGAACAGGAACAGAAACATGTGTGACATGCCTAACAACCACAGTTTGAGCAGCATTTTTTTACTTTTTTTTTAACTACAGTTCTCACTTGAGCAGTACTACTGTCTTTTACTAAGTATTCTCTGAACCAACAACATGAATTTTAGGTCTTACTTCCTTATGAGATATGTTTTGTAAAGCTACAGATCAATAAAAGTAGCACGAGAGAGGAGAAGAACAAAACTATCGCAACACAACAACAATTTGATCAGATGACAGATTAAAAAATTAGAATATCAACAATGTATTTTCAAAACTACATTAAGAACCAATCATGGAGAGAGTTTAATAGCTCAAATAATTAATTTGTGGAACAAATCTAAGAATCAGGCGAATAGCTCACATTGAGGCTTTACCTCAGAAGAAGGCATATCTAGGATATTCCAATTTCAATTATTTTCCAGCTACGTTGCATGGATATCGGTATTTGTGTCCGTGTAGGACACCGGTACAGGGTGTCAGGTTCTTCGAGCCCCAAAGAGTAGGATTCAGCAACACGGCCATGTATGGGTCCTACTAGATTCTGGCTCTAAAATGTATGCTCAATTGCTTACGTTTGCATAAAGTTTCAGGTCAAAAACTTAGTCTTGAGAAAACAAAGCCTATGAAGGGTGGTGCAAAGGAAAGGAGAATTAGGGAGATTGGAAGAATTGCAGAGGTGGATCAAAGGCGTTTCACCATTTTACTATGGTTTGTCTCTATTTGGTTCGAACATAAGAATTGGAGAATAATACAATAACAAGTACAGAAAATTATTTCTGGGTTGGAAGAGTACCATGCTTCTCATTAAGTGAGATGTACTGCCCATGAAAGAGTAGCATACTTCCCTTCTTAATCCCCTGTTAAGCGATTTTTAGGTCAGTAAGCGAAGTGGGTTTAGAACCCTCGACAAACATGCGGCTATTCCACCATGACCTCAGAGCCAAGAGCCTCATTTCTGAAATTGAGGCTCGCTCCACTGGGGAAAGCAGTTTCAGGGCGTTTATTAGAAGCACCCAAACATTATCATCAGTACTAGGTCCCTATATGCTAAGTTCTAAGAGGGAGCACTAGCTTTGCCTACTCTCAGACCATGAATTGACAAATAACACCAAGAATGAGCCTCAGCTTATCAATTCGGTCCAATGAGGATGCAAGATGCATGAATGGTCCAGCCCATTCATGTGTAATCTCTGTTTCTTAGCACTGTTTACTTCAAAAGCACTACTACTAAAGTAACTAAGAAAAAAAAAATTGCTGTTCTTGATTAAAAGCAATCAAGAAGAACACCTTAGCCTGTCCAAACATGCCCTTAGCTTCTTCATGTAAACAAGCAATAGTTCTTTTACAGTTCTGCATACACTGTCCATGTGATTACAATAACAGACCTTAATAAACTGAACTTCACAATTGGAGAAAATTTGTACAAGTTGATCCATACCAAAGAACTTGAGATAATATTTTTGTTCTCTTTATAGGCAGGCTATAATATGAACTAAAGAACTTATACTAAATGCCTTTTTCGTTTCGTAGGTAAACTGAGTTTAAACACACAATCTCAACATTCTAACAGCTAACACAATTTCATTCTGCAATGAGCTCCAACGCATCTGAAGAAGAAAAGCAGTTCTCATCGAACATTCTAAACCTTCAACCAACTTGTGACTAATCAGTTTGGGTCCCCAAGAAATTTATGAAACATTAAAACGTTAGCAATTTGGTAATATTTCCATCTATTGTTAATGCTTCTATATAAACCACAAATGTTCTAAATGAACCAGAAATGAATCTATAATAGGTAGCAATTAACTTGACCGATCACAAAATAATTCTCAGCAGTAAGGCTTAGTGAGTAACATAAAAGGTGGAGCTCGCATGACTAAGCATAAAACGGAGGCAACATCACAAACACAACAGAACCAAATCATCAAATGTCTTAAGGAAAACATGTTACCAAAAAATATATATATTATTTACCTCTGAAGCCTCTAACAGGTGACCCTCATCTTTGTATAAGATGCCACGATGGGTAAGAGCGCATGCATTGTTCGGGTCAAGTCTCACAGCTTCAGAGAAACTTTGGAATGCTTGTTGGGTCTGGTGTTGCATCTGGAGACAAATCCCCTTGCCTATATGAGCCTCAACATTTTCAATGTCCTTTTCAAGAATGGTGTCATATAAAGTGAGAGCATCCGCGAACTTGTTCCTCGATCGAAGAATATTGGCATAAGAAAGAGCATCCTTCCCTTCAAACCTCTTATGTAATGGCAACGGATGCATAGGGGGCACTCCAACACCACTAGCTGCTAGAGGATTCACTATGCCCCCATCAACAGAAGGTCGTAGTCCTTTCAAGCACTCATTCTCTCCCATAACCTCCCTCTCTCCCCCATTAGTGACCTCTGTCTCTGTCCATGCCATGTGAACAAAACTCAACTTCGAATGCTGACAACTAATCATCACTCTACAATAACATAATTTTTTCATCATAAACCCTCAAGCCAAAAGCATATGAGGAGAAAAAATAAAAATAAAAGCTCCAAGAAGAGCCTAGAGGTCCTTAAACAGAGAAGCAGTGATCGGATTAATTAATATCAAGGAAACAAGATACACAACATGACCAAATGGAAACCAAAAGAGTACATAACACAACTACCAATAATTCAACAATACCTATATATGCCTAACATAAATAACAAGACCAAATCTTTTTTTCTGCCCTGCTGGATTTTTTTTTTTTGAAAGCTCCATGTAAATCAATGTAATTGGGCGGTTTCTATAAGCCCATTTTGTACATGATAGACTAAACGCATTTGGACCGAGACTTCAGATTCTCACATCCATGTAATCATTCTCCCCAGCAATACAATATTAACTTTCTCTCAAAAAAAAAAACATACCAGTGTTGTAACTTGTCAATACCTACATAGATATTAGATACTCCTAGGATACTTGTAAATAGAAATTGATATACTTGGAAAAAATAATATGTAAAAATATAAAAAACGATGATGTGGTGGTACATATATATATATATATATATATATATATATATATACGACCGAACCCTAATTAAGTTAAGGGTAAACGGTATAGTAGTAGTAGTAGTAGTAGTAGTAATAGTAGACTATTAATTAATTAATTAATTATATTAATTAATAAGTAA